ATGAGGCCAATCACCGCTGTATTGTCCGCAAACTTGATGATGGTGTTGGATCCATGTACAGGTCTGCAGTCGTGGGTGAAGAGGGAGTGTTCAGACACCGTGCCAGGCTCCTGTTAAATGATCAAATGGTCCTGTAAGTCTTTTAGGAATTATTCCAGCTGATAAAACTCTGTTAGTAAAGTTACACTCACGGCCATTCAAACGCCTCAGATACACAGATCGTGCAGGGCCAAACGCGGCCTCTTTAGACAATAGACCACGCCAGGTCTTTGTTAGGTGTGCGCCATCGTAAGGGCGACCACGTGAGACGACGCCATCTCCCCCCTCTCTCCCCTCCTCCATTCTCCATTCTTACTCCTCTTCCACAAGCCTTGCTTGATAATGTTTGTTTGCTTAGATTAGTTTATGATAGTTATTTGTTTGATTAAGTTCATTGATTTGGATTGATGTTGCTTTGTTAATAAATTCTGTTATAATGTAAGAGAGCAGTTGTTTGTGGTTACTGGTGTATTTGCATTGTGATGTAAGCTGGGTGCGATGGCTTTGTGTACAGATTTCACGCCTTCAATTTATTAAATATAATTATTAATAATATTGTTAATTAACTAATTTGAGACTGATTTGAGTGATATTTTGGTTATATTTCCCTGATTACAGAGTGGTGCCCCAAGAGTGATTAAAGATAGTTTCATGATGTTGTTATTAATAATTATATATAATTATTAAAGAATATAACCAAAGTTGACTTGATACAACCCAAACATCTACAACGTGAACACTGATGACGGCACACATCATGATGACCAGACCGATCGAGACCACGTATATCTTCAGCCTGTAGATAGAGAAACCAACCCCAGATATCTCTGGACCAAAAAAAAACATTGTTTCATTAGAAAGGTGACGCAAACCGATCTTCAACAAGAATGTGATTCAACAACAGGACAGGGTGCAGCAAGTCAGTTGTTCCTCTTTTTGCATACTGACAGCATTTAGCTTTACAAAAAAGTGTTGAAAATTTCATGGAACCATATGAAGGGCTCACCTTTACTGTTTGTAAAGAGGGATGTTGGTCTCTGAATTTAGTATTTAATGAGTCATCATTTATTATTAGTAAGGCAAAGAGGAAGTTTTATAACAACTTTAAACTTTAAAGTGAGCAGAAACGAGGTATAACTAGGATAAATATTGGAGATGCTTTTGAAAAATGGAGAGGCAGAAAGGTTTCCAGACTGATGCAGACCTGGCTAAACACTGAAGCTTCAGTGTCCGAGACATGGCAACCTTCATGAGCATCGACTCTAGGGAGGAGGGGGCAGACAGCTCTCGTTAAAGAGTAACTAAACCCTAAAACCACTTTTTTCAACTATAAACCTTGTATTTGAGTATTAAGTAGTGTTATGGATCAATCCAAGTCCAAATCTCGATATTTGAGTACAAAGTATTGAAATTCGAAATACTGTGTTAGAAATGTGCATAGTGTCTGCCCTTCCGTTTGAAAAACTCTAACGGCTGTGTGGAGTACAGTACTACGTAGGAGTGAATTACTACATCACCAAACCTACAAAAGCCTCGTCACTTGATGCGGCAGACTGTGGGGAGTCAAGTGTGTGTTAGTGATGTGAAAAGCAGTTCTTTTCAGTGTACTGAATCAGTAGAATCAGTTCAGTAAAGTGATTCGTTCAAAAGATTCGTTCACCGATTCATTCACCGATTCATTCAGTACTTCTCTGCAGCTCTGTCTGTGAATCAGAATTTAATAAGCTGAAACACGGCCGAACGTTTATTTCTGCTCGCGATTGTACTGAGAACAGCCGGTGGTGAATAATAAACCAATGAGCTGAGAATTTAGTTAGATAAAGCCACAGTTTGCAAACTGAAAGCTGCTAAAACAATCACATTTATTTTCTGTTCAGTATGTTCAGTACACAAATCACTCACTGACTGTCTGACTGAGAGGAAGAGAGTGACTCGGAGGCGGAGCTCTTCCTCTCAGTTCGTTAACTGAACGAGAGCTCCGCTCCTACTCTCTGTTCATTCAGTGATTCATGTCGGAGCTCCGCCTCCGAGTCACTCTCTATTTGCGCTTTTCTTTTCTGATGAAATAAAGATGAGGAAGTATAGGCATGTGATAAGCTCTAAACAGCCAAATCACTTCAGCTTGTCACTCATTTCTTAGAATGGGGCCCCTCGTACTTCTCTTTTCAACACTCAGAGTTTATACAAGGCCTTCATACTTTAAACTGAGACATAATGATTGTTATTGTCAGCGGCTGGTCAGTGGATTGAATGTAAATAATCAAAGTGAAAGACTTTAGAGTTTGTGATCACTGAGTGAACTGGAGATGTTAAGACTTCCATTAGTGTTTCTACAGTTTGAGTAGCTGTATAGTAGTTATAGTGAAGATAAACTGTTCTTTTATCCTGATACATAAAACTTGAAATGGAAAGTATAAAAAGTGACTAAGTGTATTATAGCTGAGGGTCAGGGTACAGAAACCATCGAGGTCATTTTCATATTATTACCTTCTCTTCACATTGCAAACTTCCCAAACGGTTTGACAAAGCCGAGGCTTTAGGCGTTAAACTACTACTACTACTACTGCCTACAAGTAATACATTAAGAAAAAAATAAAGGCCAGCAAATATATATATTTTTTTACAATTTCTCAATTTCCTAATCTGATGACATGATCAAATCTGTGACTTAAATGTGTTATTGATTAAACAGAACATAATGCCTCCTCAATTAAATGTACTGTAACAGATGTGTATAGGACACAAAAACAAAATTTGTTATTTTGGCCGGTAAAAAAATAGATGTATAATGTTTGGGCGGTGAATGTTTTCATCTGCCGGCCGTCTTGGACGGTGAGTCAAAAAGTTAATTTCGGACCCTGGGCGGTAGTAACATCGGTAGGGACCTAGGTTGTATGGGAGTTCATCTGTTGGAGATGTTCCAGGTCTCTTTCCGGCCAAATTGCTCTGATCCCTCAAGCTACTTACAGCTTTCATCCATGTGTCCGCAGGCTTCACAAAATCCCTGTGCACATACATCCTTACATCCCATCATCCTTTCCTCTACCCTTCCTTCACTCTTTCACACAAACCCGACTCCAGTTATGTTCAGTTCTGACCTTTTATTATCACTGAAAGCATCGTACAAGAGCACAGTAGATAATGACATACGACGTGCAACACAACCTGACAGAATACTAGAGAAAGGAAAATATTATTGTACGTTAAAACAATACTAAGAACATTAATTACAATAGGAATATATAAAAGTTGTATCTGCTTCCGCTCCTACTGCTCACTCAAGCAGCTGCTCAGGGAGCCTCAACACCTAATCAAGTCGGCTTTCTTCATCCTCTTCCAATTCAAACTGATCATCCCCTAACAGCTATGACGCGCTCCCTGTGTTTCAGTCCCACTCTGACATCTCTCTATTAGTGCACGTTCAAAGGTCCTGTTTGTGCATGTTTGTATTTCTGGCCTTTGTGTGTGAGTAGCATGTCTCAATATCAGAGTGTAAATTAAAGTATATTAAAACATTCATTCCTGTTTTAGGTTTGTATTTTTAACCTTCAGTCAGGTGATCATTCTCTGTGTTTGTCAAGAACTTTAAGATACAAGTAAACAAGTGATACATTGTTAACATGGAAATATTGATTCAAGTGTTCTTTTAATCATACACATGATTTTTATTTCTCTTCTCTCTGCAGTGACTCCTGTGTTTGTGAAGACAGGAACAGATTTACTTCTGGATGTGAAGGAACCTGTTCCGAAGGAGGCAGATTTATTTACATGGAATGTCAATGGCAGTGTTAATGTTGTGAGACTAGCTCAATGTGGTAAACCAACCATTTCCAAAAATTATACATCTAGAGCAGAATTGTCTGCACAAAATCACTCTCTACTGTTAAAGAACGTACAAAAGGAGGACAGCGGAGTTTACAGAGCGCGTGTTGCTGCTGATAATAACTCAGATGTAGCTGAATACAGCGTCACAGTTCTGGGTACGTTTCTTTAATTTGAAAATGTTGATACAAAGTCGTTCCCTGTTTTAAAAAAAGTCATCACACTTGCTTTGCTTCCTGCAGATCCAGTGTCTGGAGTGAAGCTGACAGTGAAACTCTGCAGCTCAGACTCCACTAACGTCACAGTGATCTGCAGTACCTACCTACTCTGTTAGTACCTACTATTCAGTATGCACACACAGTAGGCAGATATTTGTGCCTACTTCATCTGATTCATTCAGTATGGAAGTGATGTCATTTACGTTTCCAGAACTGGCCGCATCCACCCGTTTTTTTTGTTTTTTTGTTTATCTTTATTCAAGAAGAGTAATGTGCATATACAGTCAGGTAAACAAAAAACAATATCACAATGTAAATGAAGTAAAAGACAGATTAAATAACTAAATAACATACAGTACATAAAGAAAAGTACAAATGAAAGACAGTAATATACAGAATATAAAGTAAAATAAACAAATAAAGACACATTTAAATAGTGAAATCATTATTTAAATAAAGGGGGAAAGGTTTTATAATAATGCAGATATTTGTTATATTTTCTGTTGTTAATTTAAAGTAGTGATTTCAGTCGGGACTTTAAATTAAGATTAAAAATGTATTCAATTAATCCACGCTCGTTTGTTTTGATTTGGAGGCGCACGTGACGTGACTATTTACGTTTAATTTCGCACAGCATTGTGGGTGGTAAAATACAATTCATTTACTGAAAGTACGCATCCGATCCATACTGCATAAAACCTGGAAGTTAGTATCCATACTGAAATGTTCAGTATACTGAAACTCCATACTGAATAGTACGTACTGCCTACTGAACTGTGGCTATTCAGAAAGAGCTCTAGAGTGTTGCTTCATGCAGTTCAAGATGCTGCGTGATGGGAGGGGCGGCGTTTTTAAAATTTCCAAGGACAATTTGCGCTTTTCTTTTCTGATGAAATAAAGATGAGGAAGTATAGGCATGTGATAAGCTCTAAACAGCCAAATCACTTCGTCTTGTCGCTCATTTCTTAGAATGGGGCCCCTCGTACTTCTCTTCTCTTTTTCTCTGCTGCATTTATGTGCTACACAAGGTAAGAACTTTATTTTTTGTATGTTTCCTGTTGTTGAAGTGTCTTTTGTAAATATCTGTATTTCTGCACGGCTTTAATGATAGTTAGATCTAACAATGTAATCTGTTTTTTCATTAATGCAACACTGAGAGTTTATACAAGGCCTTCATACTTTAAACTGAGACATAATGATTGTTATTGTCAGCGGCTGGTCAGTGGATTGAATGTAAATAATCAAAGTGAAAGACTTTAGAGTTTGTGATCACTGAGTGAACTGGAGATGTTAAGACTTCCATTAGTGTTTCTACAGTTTGAGTAGCTGTATAGTAGTTATAGTGAAGATAAACTGTTCTTTTATCCTGATACAGAAAACTTGAAATGGAAAGTATAAAAAGTGACTAAGTGTGTTATAGCTGAGGGTCAAGGGTACAGAAACCATCGAGGTCATTTTCATATTATTACCTTCTCTTCACATTGCAAACTTCCCAAACGGTTTGACAAAGCCGAGGCTTTAGGCGTTAATCTAATGGTCTGTGTGTGTGTGTGTGTGTGTGTGTGTGTGTGTGTATGTGTGTGTGTGTGTGTGTGTGTGTGTGTGTGTGTGTGTGTGTGTGTCTGTGTCTGTGTGTGTGTGTCTGTGTGTGTGTGTGTGTGTCTGTGTGTGTGTGTGTGTGTGTGTGTGTGTGTGTGTGTGTGTGTGTGTGTGTGTGTGTGTTTTCGTTAAAACATATTTGGCTGGGGGAGATAAAACCCTGTTACAATGTGGTGCTGCTGTGCTTTTTTTTGGGGGGGTCTGGGAACTACTGCCTACAAGTAATACATTAAGAAAAAAATAAAGGCCAGCAGATATATTTTTTTTTTACAATTTCTCAATTTCCTGATCTGATGACATGATCAAATCTGTGACTTAAATGTGTTATTGATTAAACAGAACATAATGCCTCCTCAATTAAATGTACTGTAACAGATGTGTATAGGACACAAAAACAAAATTTGTTATTTTGGCCGGTAAAAAAATAGATGTATAATGTTTGGGCGGTGAATGTTTTCATCTGCCGGCCATCTTGGACGGTGAGTCAAAAAGTTAATTTCGGACCCTGGGCGGTAGTAACATCGGTAGGGACCTAGGTTGTATGGGAGTTCATCTGTTGGAGACGTTCCAGGTCTCTTTCCGGCCAAATTGCTCTGATCCCTCAAGCTACTTACAGCTTTCATCCATGTGTCCGCAGGCTTCACAAAATCCCTGTGCACATACATCCTTACATCCCATCATCCTTTCCTCTACCCTTCCTTCACTCTTTCACACAAACCCGACTCCAGTTAGATTCAGTTCTGACCTTTTATTATCACTGAAAGGTACATTTGATTTAAAGTATCGTACAAGGGCACAGCAGATAGTGACATACGACGTGCAACACAACCTGACAGAATACTAGAGAAAGGAAAATATTATTGTACGTTAAAACAATACTAAGAGCATTAATTACAATAGGAATATATCAAACTTGTATCTGCTTCTGCTCCTACTGCTCATTCAGGCAGCTGCTCAGGGAGCCTCAACACCTAATCAAGTCGGCTTTCTTCATCCTCTTCCAATTCAAACTGATCATCCCCTAACAGCTATGACGCGCTCCCTGTGTTTCAGTCCCACTCTGACATCTCTCTATTAGTGCACGTTCAAAGGTCCTGTTTTTGCATGTTTGTATTTCTGGCCTTTGTGTGTGAGTAGCATGTCTCAATATCAGAGTGTAAATTAAAGTATATTAAAACATTCATTCCTGTTTTAGGTTTGTATTTTTAACCTTCAGTCAGGTGATCATTCTCTGTGTTTGTCAAGAACTTTAAAATACAAGCAAACAAGTGAAACATTGTTAACATGGAAATATTGATCAAAGTGTTCTTTTAACCATACACATGATTTTTATTTCTCTTCTCTCTGCAGGGACTCCTGTGTTTGTGCAGACAGGAACAGATTTACTTCTGAAAGTGAAGGAACCTGTTGTTCTGAAGGAGGCAGATTTATTTACATGGAAGGTCAATGGCAGTGTTAATGCTGTGAGACTAGTTCATGGTGGTAAACCAACCATTTCCCCAAATTATAAATCTAGAGCAGAATTGTCTGCACAAACTCACTCTCTACTGTTAAAGAACGTACAAAAGAGGGACAGTGGAGTTTACAGAGCAAGTGTTTCTGCTGACAAAGACATCACTGTAGCTGAATACAGCGTCACAGTTCTGGGTACGTTTCTTTAATTTGAAAATGTTGATACAAAGTCGTTTCCTGTTTTAAAAAAAGTCATCACACTTGCTTTGCTTCCTGCAGATCCAGTGTCTGGAGTGAAGCTGACAGTGAAACTCTGCAGCTCAGACTCCACTAAGGTCACAGTGATCTGCAGCACTGAGGACTCTCTCATCAACAACACGTTCACATGTGACACACAAACCTGCTCTCACGAGGGAGGAGAGCGAGCAGAGATCATCACACCTGGTGCTTCTCTGGACGTCTACCTGGAGAACGGCTCAGTCATCTGTAACCATAGCAACCAGGTCAGCTCTACAAGGGACATCCAAAAGATTGAAGATCTTTGTGTGACGCCCGTCGGTAAGAGTTAAAAACTACAATTTAACACTTATAAACAGTGTGGATTGTAGCCTAAATAAAAACCAACAGATGCTTTTTTTGTTGTTGATGAAACAATGATATAAATATTCTCCATTGTGTTTCAGCTGTTGGTAGGAGATCATTTTGTTCATAAATTCTGAAGAAATAATTTCAGCAGAAACATTGTCATGATTTTAGACTAATCAGTAATAGTTTGTCAATCAATTAGCTTTAAAAAAAATAAGTCAAAATAGTATTTTTTATTTTTTATAACATTTAAACAACACACACAAAATATAAACTTACACATGACAGACCATTAACAAAAACCACAAGAAGAAAACAAAGACAAACCAGTCATCATGTTCATCATTCTTCTAAACATGGCCTTAGTGCGATCCATCTCATTTCAGTCATTCATTGTTCCCTCTCTGTTTGTGATTACGCCCTCTAAACTATAAAATGAAATGAAACAGATTATTTGACATATAAATGGACTAGCATTAATTGTTTAAAAGCTAAAAACTGTCAATGAATTAATTTTATGAGATTCAGATGTGTTATTAATCCCTGATGGTCAATTCAGTCTCACAGCCTTTAGAGTCTTATTAAAAGAAGTCAAGACAAAGTAAAGAGTTACATTTACATGCCAGTAACAACAGGTCACCAAAGGAGATAACAATCTATTTAAAGAAATACAATGTCAGAAATGTCTAAGGTGATCCTTAAAACCAGGAGGTGACTATCCTTCCATGTAGTTTTAAATTGTGACTTTAGGACACCATCCATTCAGGGTTGATTAGACCAATTTCATATTTTACTACAGATCAGGTCTGTGAGATTGAGTGGTTCAGCCAAGTATGAATTTCTAATCTGGCTTTCTTTTTTCTTTACAGTATTGAACGACGGCCCAAATAATGTTACACCATCTGTTGTACCCATTGTCGTATTTCTTTTGTTCTTGTTCTTGGCTGTAATTGGAGGATTTATTTATCATCGAAGGAGAAAACAAAGTAAGTTAAGTTTGCATTTAAACTGAATTTAAATGTGAAATCAGAAAATCCTTATTGTTTACATCAAACTGAATTGACCCTTTAGATGAGTACATTCTTCTCCCCTGTGTTGATGTTTTTATTATCATTCAAAAGACGTCCCTTATGAGTGAATCCTCTTATCAGGGCGATCTGATAAAGACAGCGCAGCAGTTACACTTAGAAGCCACACCTTAGAGTTAGAATAAATAAACAATTTACAATGTTAACAAAATAAATCACATGTAAAGAACTTTTAAATACTTATGAATTTACAATATTTGAGGATGGCAATTCAAAACTGTTTATCATTTACAAAATATTAAAATGAGTTCCCATTATAAAATGTTTATGCATTTTGATTGCATTCATTACTATTAATAAATTAACAGAATACATTTTTCAATGTAGAAAAGTGACTCTCAAAATCACACCAAATAAATCCAGAAAAGAATCAACTCCAGTAATGTTAATGTAGTTTCAACATGTTTCTTTATGACTGATCTGCAGATAAAGCAGAGAACATGGAAAATATCGTCTATGAAGATCCTCAGGTAAGGAGGAATATTTTTTAATACCAATTTCCCAAATTAGTCAGAAGTGAAGAAATTCTTGAACAAATTAATGATTGAGAACTGATGTGAAGAGACAGGCCAGAGACATTACTGTTTTCAAATTCCTCACTAGCTCTTGTTTTTTGAAACTTGTTTTCCCCTTATTTTTTGCAACTTCACAAAAGTGGCGTCTTTGCAAAAACAACAAATGCAGGTTCTGCAAGGTGCTGTGGGCTCAAAAGTCTGTGTACTATTATTGAGATCAGGCCAGTGTTGAAAATAAAGCCCATGTGGAAGTGCCCAAAACTGCAGCTCCTGAGGGCTGACAAATACCCATTTCCACCCCATATTAAAATGTCCGTTTGTACTAAGTGCTGACAGGCTGGTATAAAGAAAACCACAGCTCATTTCTAGATCCATCACGACTTCTTCCCAACAGTTGTAAATGTATTAAACCTTTGAAGTTATGGGGTGTTGTGGTTCTGTGTTGCAGGTTGAACCAAATAGCTTTCTGATTGACATCAAACCAGAAAATTCAGTCACAGAACTTAAAGGGATACTTCACCCGTTGAAACATGAATCTGTATTGACATTGGGTCATATATGTTGTAGAAATGTGAAATACATTTTGAAGTTGGTGCCTTCTTGGCCGGCAGAAAGGCAGAAAGTGACTTTTTGGCTCATGTGGATGAAAGACACCAAATCCCAGAATGCACAGCACCACAGGCCACTCCCACTAAGGTCCTCTAGTTCAGAATCAGAAATACTTTATTAATCCCAGAGGGAAATTTGATCGATACAGTTTCTCCAAAACATACAGTATAGCAGTAGAAATAAAGTAATAAAAACATTTACAGACATATTTACTTCAACACATAAGACCATTTCCTCAACTGATTCAGAGATTTCTTCCAGAATTGATCTTGGAAATTCCTGGCAGAAAACAGACTCTATGTCTGTGTCCATAGACAAACAGTGAGAGCACCGACACTACCAGTCCACCCCAGCTCGAGCCGGCCCGGGGTCCTCGTCCTCACCGCCGCCGACAGGCAGGCCTTATGTCTCGGCTGCTGAGCTGGCAGTGGCCAGCGGTCTTGTGTCGCGGCGGCCCCAGCGCCTAGCGGTTAGCAGCCGTCTCGCCGCTATATTTGTATTTTCTCGCCATTATCAGCTTTCTCCATAGAGCCTGTTAGCATAGCTTCCAATCAATATGGCGGACGTTAAGTTTCGATTCTGGGAGTGAGTTCCCACCCACTGATCTGTGATTGGTCTGTAGCTTCAGTGGTCGAAAATATGAGGAACTAGCGTTGTAGTTTCACACCACTAGCAGCTTCCAGTGACACAAAAATCGTCATTTTGCGTCACTGGAAACTTCTTTTCAGACTCAGAAATACAAAGATTTCCCATCTCAGGGGAAAATGAGGGCGGGATGCACGGCCATTCAAAAACACTACCAGGTTTCTAATGATACAAAGATTAATGCAAATGGGTGAAGTATCCCTTTAATGACCTGACTGTAACTGAGTCTTTGTGGGATCTTTTCTCAGTCACAAATCGGACAAATAATGTAGCAGTAGCTTTCTGTGATAAATTGTACTAACATGCTTTTCAAGAAGTCTGGACTGAAGCAACAGTTTTTATCTTCTTCTTCTGCTAATACATTATAATAGCCCAATTTGAAAATCGCATATCAAATAGCAAAATAACCATTCTTATGTTGTGTGTTAAAGGCTGTGAATACAGACCTCCCTCTGCAGCAGAGACCAACAAATGATGCCCCCGCTGGTCCTCCACCCTCCATCTACTCCTTGTTGGGGCCTCCCATCGTCTCTGAAGCACCCACTCAGCCCAGAGACAACGCTCAGCCAGAGAGCCTGTATGCAGAGGTGTAAAAACTTCTAAAGTCCTGAAACAGTTCACTATGATGTCTTCAACACACTTCTCTGTGTGGAATGATCACTTTAGTTTAGTTTAGTTTAGTATCAGTGAAGGACTTCTGACTGCGTCTTCTTTTTCTGTACGTCGGTTGTCGACTAGCTACTTGAGTCATGCAATGAAGTTAAAAGACCCAACTACAGTCAGATTGCTGATTTTATTATGAATTATAACAACAAGCACCTTCTGACTGGAATCATTTGCCAGATAACCTGTGAACAATAAACTTTTCTTTTAAAAAATTAAATCGCCCTTCCACTGCTTCCAACCCTAATGTCTTCCTGCTGCCTTAATAAGGAGGCTTCTGATTGTACAGTAACCTTTGTAATTACCATCATTAGTGTCAATACTTATAATTTGTGATATTGCAACAAAACAGTTCTTGTTTCTGTTCAAAATGGTATTATTCATCAGCAGATTTAAATGTACATTCATTGATGAATACCCTCTTGAGATGAATCATCTCGTTTTCAAGGGAGGTCCAACCCACCAGGGCATTCATTCTGTATCGCTACTCCACCCACACAACGTAAACAGGTACGAGATTTCACATCACATATTAACTAATAACATTGTATGTTTATAGAGATCATTTATGTCACATGCTATATGGAGACACCTTTGCTGTTAACAATCAGGTGACACATACAATAGAACTGTTTTGATGTAGAGATTTCATTTTTTTAAATGGTGGCATGATGATCTCCTCAGCTTGTGTAGCTCATAAAGAGGCTTCAGTATTAATCTCAGTCTGTTACATAACCAGTTAATAACTCCTCACAGGAGCTTTAACAGACATTTAAAGAATGAGTGAATAAGTTTACTGCTTCACACTGAACTTCATGTCAGCAAAAAGAAACAATAAAGTGAATTAACACCAAACACATCAAACTCTCTCACCTATTAGCCATTATCCATCAAATATATCGATGAGTACAATATATTTACAATGCTTTTGTTATTACTGAAGGTCCAGAAAGGAGGCTTCACATCATATTATAGAGTGAGAGTTTATTACTGAGGGTCCAATATGATGCTTGGACAAATACTGTGAAATATCATTTATTAATATTTTATAATTATCATTAATAATATTATAAATAGGACAAATGACATTACAAATACTGCATTTTATGTTTTTCTCCAGACAACATCCTCAAAAACCTTTTAACATCAACTCTGAGCAATGAATTTATTTACAAGAGGCCAATGTAAACAATTTAATTCAAGAAATAAAATCATTTTGCCCTGTGATTAACTGGGAACAGTCCAGGGTTTACCCCGCCTCTCAGCCAATGACAGCGGGGATCGGCTCCAGCCCCCCCGCCCGCGACCCCGAATAATGGATGGAGGGAAATGATAGTATTGTGTGATGGATGAACTGTGTGTATAGTAAAGAAACAATGCAATTGCTTTATATTTACATACATTTTATTGATTAAAAAGGTATTTATAATATGTCTATGAAGCTTTACAAAAGTGCTGAGTCACTTCTATCCTAATAAACTTTATAAGTCAAAGCAGAATTGTACAGGTATTTTTACTCTCTTCATTATTTGCATCCATGTTTGCTGATATTCTTCCTCTGCCTCCTCAAACTACATTTCTCTGTGTTTTACCGCCACCAACAGTCCATCAGTGGAATAGCATGAAGTCTGTGAAATAAGTGTGTATATACCACCGTGCCCCCTGCAGACTCACATACACACAGCTTAAACACAACAAGGTCACACATGTTCAGTCAAAAAAAGAAAATAAAACAAGTCGCTCCATTGTGCTACTAGTGGTCAAACTCTCCACAGAGGATTGTTGGGGGAGAGGTGCTTGTTTATCTTTTCTTCTTAAGCTTCTCTGTGAACACTGATGACGGCACACATCATGATGACCAGACCGATCGAGACCACGTATATCTTCAGCCTGTAGATAGAGAAACCAACCCCAGATATCTCTGGACCAAAAAAAAAAAACATTGTTTCATTAGAAAGGTGACGCAAACCGATCTTCAACAAGAATGTGATTCAACAACAGGACAGGGTGCAGCAAGTCAGTTGTTCCTCTTTTTGCATACTGACAGCATTTAGCTTTACATTCAAGAAAGAACTCGTCAGTTTGTGATGATCAATGTTGGTCTGGTTTTAAAGGGGACATATTATGAACAATCCACTTCTTCAGTGTTTTTGAACATTTATTTGGGTAACCTGAGTGTCTACCGACCCACAAAATGTAAAATAAACACATCCAGTCCTTTGTTTGTGGTCTGCATAAGTCTTACAACACAGAGAGAAATGCTCTGTTTCACATTTGCTCTCCTTGTGACATCACAGTGGGATTCTGGTAAAAACCACCAAAACGGAGCGTTCTGAGAGAGCTGGTTTATACAGGGTCACAAACCTCCTCTGGTGCTTGATTCATGTTATATTTTAATCAAAGCACAGCACAGATGTTTCATTTAGACCACTGAGGGACTGTTTGAAAAGAGGGAAAAGGGGGATAACATGTCCTCTTTAATGGCCATTTTAGTGTCAAATCAAATAATCACATTCAAGTGTCAGCCTGAGCTCAGTATTTAATGATGATGATGGTGAAAAGAAAAAAGGAAGTTCTTCATGTTTGCCTCTCTCTATGACGACCAAACTAAACCAGATCAACAATGACCATAGGATTTTACCAGCCACAGTTTAACAGAACATGAGTCGACAATAAGAGAGGAGGAGATTTGTTAGAAACTTCAGGACAGGATTAGATGCATCGCTTCATCTACGGAGGACGCAGAAAGAGTTCTCTCCAATGTTTTGGATTTGGACTGCAGTACCCGTTTTAAACACTAGGTGTCAGAGTTACACCATTAAAGTCATAGTGCAGAATAAATGTCAGTGATCTTTTCAACTTTAAAAAGAAAATGTATGATCTTGCCTATTTAACAGTCATAGTTAAGCCATAGTTAATTGATATAGCAAATCAATATTTTTTTTCTGGAACATTCAATGATTTCTGTTTATTAAAAGAGAACATGGACTGAGATAACTCTGCATTACAAATTGGGCCATGAAAATGTCAACATTGGATGGTCTTTAATCGTGACCTTATTTCTGTCTCCTAGGCAATTCTTTCTTGCAATATTAATAATATATTTATTATTATTTTATAAAAAATCTAGAGAAAAAATCATATTGTTTCATCAAAAAAATTTGATCTGTTGTTTTTTTATTTAGGCTACAATCCACACTGGTTATTAGCATCAAATTGTAGTTATTAACTCTTACCGTCAGGCTTTCTACAAAGATCTTCAATCTTTTGGATGTCCCTGGTAGAGCTGACCTGGTTGCTATGGTTACAGATGACTGAGCCGTTCTCCAGGTAGACGTCCAGAGAAGCACCAGGTGTGATGATCTCTGCTCGCTCTCCTCCCTCGTGAGAGCAGGTTTGTGTGTCACATGTGAACGTGCTGCTGATGAGAGAGTCCTCAGTGCTGCAGATCACTGTGACTTAGTGGAGTCTGAGCTGCAGAGTTTCACTGTCAGCTTCACTCCAGACACTGGATCTGCAAGAAGCAAAGCAAGTGTGATGACTTTTTTTAAAACAGGGAACGACTTGTATCAACATTTTCAAATTAAAGAAACGTACCCAGAACTGTGACGCTGTATTCAGCTACAGTGATGTCTTTGTCAGCAGAAACACTTGCTCTGTAAACTCCACTGTCCCTCTTTTGTACGTTCTTTAACAGTAGAGAGTGATTTTGTGCAGACAATTCTGCTCTCGATATATAATTTGAGGAAATGGTTGGTTTACCACCATGAACTAGTCTCACAACATTATCACTGCCATTGACAGTCCATGTAAATAAATCTAGCCTTCAGAACAACAGGTTTCTTCACTTCCAGAAGTAAATCTGTTCCTGTCTGCACAAACACAGGAGTCACTGCAGAGAGAAGAGAAATAAAAATCATGTGTATGATTAAAAAAAACTTAATCAATATTTCCATGTTAACAATGTTCACTTGTTTACTTGTATTTTAAAGTTCTTGACAAACACAGAAAATGATCACCTGACTGAAGGTTAAAAACACAAACCTAAAACAGGAATGAATGTTGGACTTACATTCACATTAATACATTTATATATCATATATTTTATTATTAATTATATATAATTAATGACCAGGTCATCACTAATTGCATTGATTGATGAAGTCTCTATTTCGAACATGTACTTTCTTTTTTATTGTCAAAAAAACAAAACAAATAAACCTATAAAAGAATCGTGTAAGAAAACAAAAAAATCTAGTTACATGTTTGAAAAGGAGCGGGAAGAATATTATTATTGTTGCTTGTTAGGGACTGTCTCTTTGCATTTATCCCTCTAACACTTTATATTTTAATTGATCTAATTCTCTGTTGTGTTTTTTACACTGTTCTCTTGCTCTAATTTTGGAGCCATCTACTATATATCCTATAAATAAAGTTTCTTATCTTATCTCGTCTCGTCTCACACCTGTGTAAGAACTCAAAGCTGTGAAAACAAATACATTATTGTCTCGTCTCGTCTTATGGATATCTTATCTTGTGCTCAGTGATAAAATTAGGCATTTTTTTCCTCTTATTTCAGAGAACCAGGTTCTTTTTAAAACATTGAAGCTTCATCAGCGTGCTTTCAGAGTGAAACTGTTTTAAGTCTCAAACTTTTATAAATATATACAAAGACACTGAAACATTTACTGTAATAAAGGTTTTCCACTTTGTCATTCCTTCATGCAAATTCTTTAAAATCTGTCCCTCTTTCTTAATATGTCATCACTTAGATTACATTTATTACAGATACAAACACAAACTGATAAAATCATGTATCGCAAGTGAAGCTCATATTTATTTGTAATCAAGAATTCAAACCTGAGGTCACTTCATGTTGATCTGTAAATTAGACGGAGCAGAGAAGTCTTTTTCAAGTGGCCGGGAAAACAGTTAGCTTACATCTTTTTATAATATACTACATTGTTTGCATCACTCTTGCAGTATTATGTTTACCGAACATAAAAACTTCAAAAATAAATCTAAGTTGTCTTAAATTAAATAAATAGTGAAACTGTTTCTTTTTGAAAAGACTCATTCCTGTTCTCTAATAAAAAGTGAGATTATACCCTCAACTAGTGAAATGTTAAATATTGAATATTGAGTACTGAATAATTGACAGGGTCTGTTTATTTTGTTGCAACATAACCCCTGTGCTCCGTTCTCTCCATTGGCTTCCTG